TGTCAACAGAGTTAAATCGGAGGCTGCCATAGTGAAGAGCTCTGTTCCACAAGGCACAATACTCGCCCCATCTTATTCCTTATCCTCATATCAGACATAAACAGAGATATACACCACAGCACCGTATCATCCTTTGCGGATGATACTAGGATCTGCATGAGGCTGTCATCTGCTGAGGACGTGGTTAATCTACAAGAAGATATAAACAAAGTTTTCCAATGGGCAACGGTAAACAATATGATGTTCAATGAGGACAAATTCCAACTACGTTATGGAAAACTGGAGGAGATAATAACTAGAACAGAGTATACTACTGACTCCGGCCATACAATAGAGCGGAAAACTAATGTAAGGGACCTGGGAGTAGTAATGTCTGAGGATCTCACTTTCAAGGATCACAACAGTGCCACGATCGCACGTGCAAAGAAAATGATAGGATGGATAATGAGAACTTTCAAAACGAGAGATGCCAAGCCCATGATGATCCTTTTCAAATCACTTGTTCTCTCTAGGCTGGAATACTGCTGTACATTAACATCTCCATTCAAAGCAGGTGAAATCGCAGATCTAGAGAGTGTACAGAGATCCTTTACTGCACGTATAAGTTCTGTCAAGCACCTTAACTACTGGGAACGCTTGGAAGCACTTGACCTGTACTCGTTGGAACGCAGGAGGGAGAGATATATCATAATCTACACTTGGAAAATCTTGGAAGGAATGGTCCCAAATCTGCACACAGAAATCACTCCCTACGAAAGTAAAAGACTGGGCAGGCGATGCAAAATGCCCCCAATAAAAAGTAGGGGCGCCATTGGTACACCAAGAGAAAACACCATAAGTGTCCGGGGCCCAAAACTGTTCAACAGCCTCCCATCAAGCATTAGGGGAATTGCCAATAAGCCCCTGGCTGCCTTCAAGAGAGAGCTGGACAGATACCTAAAGTCAGTGCCGGATCAGCCGGGCTGTGGCTCGTACGTTGGACTGCGTGCGGGCAGCAGTAACAGCCTAGTTGATCAGGCCCCTGATCCATCGGGAGGCCTGGTCATGGACCGGGCCGCGGGGGCGCTGATCCCCGGAATAACCTCCAGGTAACCTCCAGGTAACCTCCAGGATGAACGACTGACCATCTCAAAAACTTTTTCACCAAGGTTGATAGACTGATTACATCTTCACTTCACTACTACACCTGCTACCTTTGCATTTGACTGAAGAAGCCTACTGTGTAGGCGAAACACTTCAATAATAAAAATACCTAACTGTTGCACATAAGTATTAATCATCAGCTTATCGGTATTTTATACCATTTACAACATACCATTTTCAACATCGGGGAAGCTATTCCCGAGTGTTTGGCTGTGATAATGTCTGTTGAGAAACACACAGTTTCACATGATGTTATTGCCTCGTTTCCTGCCGAAGTGTGGTGGAGAAATGGCTATAAGCTAACTGTTATAGTTATAAGCTTTCTCTTCTTGTGGGAGTGTTGATAATTTTTTTTTTTGTAAATATTTCTGGTGTGATTTTATTGCAATCACTTAGCCTTCTTCCCAAATATATGTACATGTGACCCTGTATCCTTCTCATGTGATTTACTAATTCTAAATATTGTATCCTGTGCTGAATGAATATAGGTATGAGGTATTGTATGTGATTGTTATGCTGAGTACATCCTTAGGTAACCGGTTCTCATATGAGTATTTACCGAGGTTTTTAAGTGTAATTGATCTATATTCTTTTGAACGAAATTATAATCCTGAGGTTTGAAATTTTTTTTTTTGTTTATTAATCTCTAAGGGTTATATAGATAATTTCCATTTATTTTTAAGAGATCCATCAATAGTTTGTACGATTGAGTTCAAGACAGTTCCACTAATGAGCCGTACAACTGGTAGGCCGCCTAGCGATCATTTAGAGGCGATACTATCATGAGGATCAGCCTACCAGACACTTAATTTTGTTATTTGTAACCATTCGATTTTATATTGCAAGAAGTCGAATATTTCTGCCTACTTGCCTGGGACTAGCTTAATATTTTTGTACCCCCCTAACTGGGCAGATTGTGGCAGCTTATCCTAAGGCAGGGGTGGGCAACCCTTAGCACGTGTGCCAAACCTGGCAGGCCACCGACTTCTTTCCGGTACGCTAACCTCTGGTCTCATCTCAAAAAAACAAAAAAAAAATTGCGACATTTATCATGTATCCGTCCCAAGAAAAGAGGGGAAATAGTCCCCATATATTTCCAGAGATTTTGTATCAAAGATATGGCCGACTTGGCACGTACACCTTTAACTCTTTCGTTTCTCCATTTTCTGTTTCCCTCCAGCCGACGGCAGCCTGAAGAAGTGTAGTCACCCCTCTCGCTCATGTATTTATCCAGCCGAGATTTGAAACTACCGAAGGTTTTAGCTTCAGAAACCCTACTATATATATATATATATATTTTTTTTTTATTATCACACCGGCCGATTCCCACCAAGGCAGGGTGGCCCGAAAAAGAAAAACTTTCACCATCATTCACTCCATCACTGTCTTGCCAGAAGGGTGCTTTACACTACAGTTTTTAAACTGCAACATTAACACCCCTCCTTCAGAGTGCAGGCACTGTACTTCCCATCTCCAGGACTCAAGTCCGGCCTGCCGGTTTCCCTGAATCCCTTCATAAATGTTACTTTGCTCACACTCCAACAGCACGTCAAGTATTAAAAACCATTTGTCTCCATTCACTCCTATCAAACACGCTCACGCATATAAAATATATATATTATTATATATATATATATATATATATATATATATATATATATATATATATATATATATATATATATATATATATATATATAATATATATATATGCAAAACAACCACTGTGAAACAATAGAGAAATTCCAAGCGTTTTCCTGACTACTCACATTATTGTTCCTTGATAATGTGAGTAGTCACGAAAGCGCTTGGAATTTCTCTATTCTTTCACAGTGGTTGTTTTGCAAATTCTGAAATCACCTGTTTACTGTGATCTTATTGCATATATATATATATTATATATATATATATATATATATATTATATATATATATATATATATATATATATATATATATATATATATATATTATATATATATATATATGCAAAACAACCTCTCTGAAAGAATAGAGAAATTCCAAGCGCTTCGTGACTACTCACATTATCAAGGAACTATGTGATAATGTGAGTAGTCACGAAAGCGCTTGGAATTTCTCTATTCTTTTAGAGTGGTTGTTTTGCATATTCTGAAATCACCTGTTTACTGTGATCTTATTGCATATATATATATATTTTATATATATATATATATATATATATATATATATATTATATATATATATATATATATATATATTTATATATATATATATATATATATATATATATATATATATATATATAGTAGGGTTACTGAAGCTAAAACCTTGTTGTGCCGAATAGGTAAAACTGGTCAATTAGCAAGCACTCATTTAAAATTAAGTCCTTTCTAAAATTTTCTCTTTTACATTTTAAGATATATTTTTTTCATTTATGTTAATAAAAACTAATGATTTTGTACCAAAAGAACCTTAGGAAACTTACCTAACCTTAATATAACAAGTGCAATTTAATTTACCCTAATCCAACTAAATATATTTTAGATAAGTTTACAGTAATTTAATAACAAACAAACTCAATGAAATATATTTTTTTCGTTAGGTTCAGAATGAATTTTGCGAAATTGTTGCATACAAAAATTATCGCTTGCCTTATTCGGCAAGAAGAGCACTGCTATTTAAGGCAAAATCGCAAGTTTTACCTATTCGGGACGACATATATATATATTAATGCTGTGGTCGAGCCTGGAACCCTCGAGCATTAACATGCTACCCGGGCAGCCTGTTAAAACTCGAGACGCCCTAATCAACTGGACCACCAATCTCATATAACAGGCGTCTAGGTGCACTGCACTAGGCACAGCATAATCAACTAACACCTAGGTACCTATTTGCTTCTAAATTAACTGGGACAACAAGTGAAAATCATTGAATTGCCCATATATCTGGCCCTCACTAATAGATGAACTTCAACTGTTAGCTTACACCAGGGTACTTTTTAAGTGATCATTACAGCAAGTGTAAAAACCTAACATGAAGGTACAGGTAATCACCTGCTAGGTGATCCGGGGAAGCAAGTGTAAAGAATAATTAAGTCTCTCCCAGGGCCTTTCATTTGGGTGTTTTATTCACTACCACAGAGGTTTAGCTTTGTTCTCGGCCTCACCTTCTAACCCAACCATGTAGTTGTGAGACATTAATGGAACGATATCTTCGTACGACATATACAATTTATATGCAATTAAATAGCGGAAAGATGCTGAGGCTCTTCCATTTGCATCAGAAATCTCATTGCATGTGACGGGCTAGTGGAAATAAGAATATGGGTTTCCTACAAGCTAGGGAGCTAGTAATGCTGATTAGTAACAAATGCTGTAGAACAGGTCACAGTTTACGTTGACATTGATTATTAAACTAATTGACACTACTTCGTTATGGATCATTTTTAACTAGCAAGTGATAGCGATCCACTGGGGTGTAATATCTAGGTTTCCCACTATATTAGTGTTTTTTGTTGTGATTTAAAGATTTGGTACAAAACCATGAGAAAGGATTTAAGTGAGATATACTTGCAGGTATTAGTATTTTCCTACACATGACATGAGCGATTTTTCCATTTGGGACCCACTGGCGAAATGGACCAAAACAACTAAGTTCCTTTATGCTGGTGAAGGGTTATTTCCTCAAAGAAGATACTCTTCCTCTCATCAAACCGAAGCTGGTTACGTTACACTAAACATGCGCTGTATCAGCATTTCGCAAATAGCGCTTTTTTCAGTGGATTCTCCAATAATAATATAAAAGTAACAATGCTAGAATATCGACCCCATTTTAAAAACAAAGCATCATCCCTCATCGTCCAAAGATTTACTTTACCTGCTGGCTGAAGTGTGAAGGCGCAAGGATCACTCTGGTGTCCCACGATGTTCGAGGCCCAGCAGAACACTGTACCGTAGTCTCTGGCAGAATACGCCACGTAGCGAAGCCTTGACACTGAGCCCGTTACTGTATACTACAAAAAAGTGAATGTGCATTAGTTTTACATCGCATTAAAAAACGTTCTTTCATGCTTTTGTAAATAAAACTCATTCTTACTAGAATGTTGGTTTAAGGCTCATCATTCCTGCAATAATTATGAAGTAAAAATTTCACTTCTCCTTTGGTACAAGTGAAAGAAATACTAATAATTTCTACTAGATTGTTGATTAAAGTAATACAGATCATTCTAACTGCAGTATGATTAATGAGAAAGAAATACGCATTATTCCCACTGCATAAGATTTGTTCAGATTTTTAACCCGGAGGGTTAGCCATCCAGCATAACCTATGAAAGTCTGTACGTCACCGAGGACTGTCTGTCTTATTTCCATTAGGTTCCTTCATTCTTGCCTCCTAGGATGTAACCAACACCAGTCTACTAACACCCAGGTACCTATTTGCTGCTAGGTGAAAAGGGACAGCAGGAAACCAGGGTACGGGTGGATGTGAACTCACGGCTAGTGAGTAGTAAAACACCAGACCAACGCGTTCCAATCGTGTCATAACGATTTCGTGAGTCAGGTAGAAGGAAACATTCAGTGTTTTCACCCGGCCTGAGATTGAACCTCGGACACCCAGTGTGTGAGGCGAGAGTGCCGCCTACGGAGCCATTCCCTAATATAATATTAGGGTAAGTAATAATCTTTATTTCAAAGAGGTTGATGTGGGTATACCAATTATTCCCTAAGAGGATGCTGGTGTAAGTTATAATTAGTTTTCCTAATAGAGTGCTGATATAAATAATGCTCAACATTTTCACTAGAATGTTGATGTAATACACATCATTGCTACTAGAATCCACGTGAAAGAAATTCTCATCATTCCTGTTAGTATGCTGTTGTAAATATACACTCATCTTTCACAAGAGGATTGATACCATTCAGAGTTAGTGTAAGTAATTCTGATCATTGGCACAATCTGGGGTAAAGAGAACTCATCATTCTTTTCAGAGTTCAGAAATTCCTCGTTGTTTGTAATTTCTATGAGGGTGATGAAGCATTATTCATTATATCTGTAAAGTGTTGATAAAAGAATCAGTTGGTGAAGTCTCAGCATCATCACGTTGATGTTGCGGTTCGAAATAATTATTTTTCATACAGGGTGCTGGTCAAAACACGGCTCCTCACTTTCGATTATATTTCGCCCATAACTTAAGAACCCCTTATCTGATCAGCATCAAATTTTTAACACAGGTGTATAGTAACGAAAACAAAATTTCTGGAAAATCTGAAATATTTACGTATCATATTACCTGGAATTTACCTGGAGAAGGTTTCGGTGGTCCTCGACCCAACGGCTCGGTCCGAGACCAGGACTCATATGACTAGAGTTATTGAATTTTGTATAAAACCTAAATATTTGTTCTCCTGTATATAGCAAGAAAGAATTAAAATGTTAAAAAAAATTGAAGAATAGTGAAAACTCTCGTTTTTATGAAAAAAATGAAATTTCACAAAATTTGCAAATCTTTAATTAAATTCTGTGCAAGTGACTGTTGAGAAATGCAGACTGTTGGTGCAGTGTTGGTGCAGTGTTGGTGCAGTGTTGGTGCAGTGTTGGTGCAGTGATGGTGCAGTGTTGGTACAGTGTTGGTGCAGTGTTGGGAACAGTGTTGTTGGGTACAGTGTTGGGTAAAGTGTTGGGTACAGTGTTGGGTACAGTGTTGGGAACAGTGTTGGTGCAGTGTTGGTGCAGTGTTGGTGCAGTGTTGGTGCAGTGTTGGTACAGTGTTGGTGCAGTGTTGGGTACAGTGTTGTTGGGTACAGTGTTGGGTACAGTGGTGGGTACAGTGTTGGGTACAGTGTTGGGAACAGTGTTGGTGCAGTGTTGGTGCAGTGTTGGTGCAGTGTTGGTGCAGTGTTGGTGCAGTGTTGGTGCAGTGTTGGTGCAGTGTTGGTACAGTGTTGGTGCAGTGTTGGGTACAGTGTTGGTGCAGTGTTGGGAACAGTGTTGGTGCAGTGTTGGTGCAGTGTTGGTGCAGTGTTGGGTACAGTGTTGGTGCAGTGTTGGGTACAGTGTTGGTGCAGTGTTGGGTACAGTGTTGGTGCAGTGTTGGAACAGTGTTGGTACAGTGTTGGTGCAGTGTTGGTAGTGTTGTACAGTGTTGGCTGTTGGTGCAGTGTTGGGCAGTTTTTGGACAGTGTTGGGTCAGTGTTGGTCAGTGTTGGAGTGTGGACAGTGTTGGTGCAGTCGTTGGCAGTGTTGGTGCAGTGTTGGTGCAGTGTTGGTGCAGTGTTGTGCAGTGTGGGCAGTGTTGGTGCAGTGTTGTGAAGTGTTGGTACAGTGTTGGTGCAGTTTGGTACAGTGTTGTGGGTACATGTGGTAGTTGGGTACAGTGTTGGGAACAGTGTTGGGCAGTGTTGGTGCAGTGTTTGGTGGCAGTGTTGGTGCAGTGTTGGTGCAGTGTTGGGTACAGTGTTGGTGCAGTGTTGGTACAATGTTGGTGCAGTGTTGGTGCAGCGTTGGGTGCAGTGTTGGGTACAGTGTTGGGCACAGTGTTGGGTACAGTGTTGGTGCAGTGTTGGTGCAGTGTTGGTGCAGTGCTGGTGCAGTGTTGGTGTAGTGTTGGGTACAGTGTTGGGTACAGTGTTGGTACAGTGTTGGGAACAGTGTTGGGTACAGTCTTGGGAACAGTGGGGTACAGTGTTGGTGCAGTGTTGGGTACAGTGTTGGGTGCAGTGTTGGGTACAGTGTTGGGTACAGTGTTGGGTGCAGTGTTTGGTACAGTGTTGGGTACAGTGTAGGGTACAGTGTTGGGTACAGTGTTGGGTGCAGTGATGGGTACAGTGTTGGGTGCAGTGTTGGATACAGTGTTGGGTGCAGTGTTGGATACAGTGTTGGGTACAGTGTTGGGTACAGTGTTGGGTGCAGTGTTGGGCGCAGTGTTGGATACAGTGCTGGGTACAGTGTTGGATACAGTGATGGGTGCAGAGTTGGATACAGTGTTGGGTACAGTGTTGGGTGCAGTGTTGGGAGCAGTGTTGGATACAGTGTTGGGTGCAGTGTTGGATACAGTGTTGGGTACAGTGTTAGGTACAGTGTTGGGTGCGGTGTTTTCTGTGCAGTGTTGGATACAGTGTTGGGTGCAGTGTTGGATAAAGTGTTGGGTACAGTGTTGGGTACAGTGTTGGGTGCAGTGTTGGGTGCAGTGTTGGATACAGTGTTGGGTACAGTGTTGGATACAGTGTTGGGTACAGTGTTGAGAGCAGTGTTGGGTGCAGTGTTGGGTGCAGTGTTGGGTGCAGTGTTGGGTGCAGTGTTGGGTGCAGTGTTGGGTGCAGTGTTGGGTGCAGTGTTGGGTGCAGTGTTGGGTGCAGTGTTGGGTGAAGTGTTGGGTGCAGTGTTGGGTACAGTGTTGGGTGCAGTGTTGGGTACAGTGTTGGGTGCAGTGTTGGGTGCAGTGTTGGGTGCAGTGTTGGGTGCAGTGTTGGGTGCAGTGTTGGGTACAGTGTTGGGTGCAGTGTTGGGTGCAGTGTTGGGTGCAGTATTGGGTACAGTGATGGGTACAGTGTTGGGAGCAGTGTTGGGTGCAGTGTTGGGTACAGTGTTGGGTGCAGTGTTGAGTACAGTGTTGGGTGCAGTGTTGGGTGCAGTGTTGGGTGCAGTGTTGGGTACATTGCTGGGTACAGTGTTGGTGCAGTGTTGGGTACAGTGTTGGGTACAGTGTTGGGTGCAGGGTTGGGTACAGTGTTGGGTGCAGTGTTCGGTACAGTGTTGGGTGCAGTGTTGGGTACAGTGTTGGGTTCAGTGTTGGGTGCAGTGTTGGGTGCAGTGTTGAGTACAGTGTTGGGTGCAGTGTTGGGTGCAATGTTGGATACAGCGTTGGGTGCAGTGTTGGATACAGTGTTGGGTACAGTTTTGGGTACAGTGTTGGGTGCAGTGTTGGGTGCAGTGTTGGATACAGTGTTGGGTACAGTGTTGGATACAGTGTTGGGTACAGTGTTGGGAGCAGTGTTGGGTGCTGTGTTGGGTGCAGTGTTGGGTGCAGTGTTGGGTGCAGTGTTAGGTGCAGTGTTAGGTGCAGTGTTGGGTGCAGTGTTGGGTGCAGTGTTGGGTGCAGTGTTGGATACAGTGTTGGGTGCAGTGTTGGGTGCAGTGTTGGGTGCAGTGTTGGGTGCAGTGTTGAGTGCAGTGTTGGGTACAGTGTTGGGTGCAGTGTTGGGTACAGTGTTGGGTGCAGTGTTGGGTACAGTGTTGGGTGCAGTGTTGGGTGCAGTGTTGGATGCAGTGATGGGTACAGTGTTGGGAGCAGTGTTGGGTGCAGTGTTGGGTACAGTGTTTGGTGCAGTGTTGGGTACAGTGTTGGGTGCAGTGTTGGGTGCAGTGTTGGGTGCAGTGTTGGGTACAGTGTTGGGTACAGTGTTGGGTGCAGTGTTGGGTACAGTGTTGGGTACAGTTTTGGGTGCAGGGTTGTGTACAGTGTTGGGTGCAGTGTTGGGTACAGTGTAGGGTGCAGTGTTGGGTACAGTGTTGGGTGCAGTGTTGGGTGCAGTGTTGGGTGCAGTGCAGGGAACAGTTTTGGGTACAGTGTTGGGTGCAGTGTTGGGTACAGTGTTGGGTGCAGTGTTGGATGCAGTGTTGGTTCAGTGTTGGGTGTAGTGTTGGGTGCAGTTTTGGGTGCAGTGTTGGGTACAGTGTTGGGTGCATTGTTGGGTGCAGTGTTGGGTGCAGTGCTGGGTACAGTGTTGGGTACAGTGTTGGGTACAGTGTTGGGTGCAGTGTTGGGTACAGTGTTGGGTGGACTGTTGGTTGCACTGTTTGGTACAGTGTTGGGTACAGTGTTGGGTGCAGTGTTGGGTACAGTGTTGGGTACAGTGTTGGGTGCAGTGTTGGGTGCAGTGTTGGGTACAGTGTTGGGTATAGTGTTGGGCACAGTGTTGGGTGCAGTGTTGGGTTATGTGTTGGGTGCAGTGTTGGGTACAGTGTTGGGTGCAGTGTTGGGTGCAGTGTTGGGTGCAGTCTTAGGTGCAGTGT